CAGTAACATTGGAAAATGGTGCAATAATGCGTGCAAATAATAGTTATCATCAAAACCCCTGGTTTAGTAATATTTCTGTTATTATGAATTCTGAAGAATTATTTGAATATTCATCTGATCAAGGTGTTTGTTATGGACAGGTATTTATTTAGTTTAAATATTTGATATATTTTTTTATTATTATACGTTATATAATAAATAATTTTAAATTTATTTAAGGTATTATTAATTGCAAAGATTGAAATAGAAAAGGGAAAACCTTCACTTAATCTAGCACTAATTCAATGGTATGACTTTAAGTCACAAAGTCAACCATATTGCTACGGATGTCCTCGATTACAAATTAAAGAATTATATAATTTTATAGAAATAGAAGCTATACAAGATATAGTGCATATAATACCACGTTTTAGAAGTAAAAATGAATTTTTTGTTAATAATTTTATTTTTTAATATAAATAAATTATTAATGTACACAAAATAATTGTATCGCTTATATTGCATATATATAAATCCCAATAATACTTAGTAATGACAAATTATATCACGTAAAATTTTGTGACATTTTTTTGAAGATTACGCATGCAAAGCACTGAGCCCATAGTTTTGCGTAAATGTCACAGAATGTAAACATTCGAGGTACTTCGACCCGAAGTATTTCGCAAACATTACGATTAGTAAATAGTGCGAAGTACTACGCCCATAGGTTTTCGCAAATATTACGATTAGTAAATATTGCGAAGTACTACGCCCGTAGGTTTTCGCAAATATTATGATTAGTATATATTGCGAAGTACTACGCCAGTAGGGTTTCGCAAATATTACGATTAGTAAATATTTCGAAGTACTACGCTAAAAACATAAATATTGCGTAACCTTACGTCGTAATATTTGCATAAGTTTACAAATCGTAAATCTTACGCAATACTTCGCATTAAAAATATTCCTGATGATGTAATAAGCGATATATTGTAAATTATCTATAACTCTATATAACTATTTATATGATAAATTAATTTTTACATATAAGAAATTGATTCCCAAAATATTTCAAATTTTTTCTCTATTTGAATAGCATTTATTTATGAGTTTATTTTCTTTCAGGCTACAGACTATTTCTACTAGATTTTACCTGAAGTATATTATATGACATTACTGGATCTTTATTACTGAGTAATCATGAGTAAAAAAAAGTTTGTATATGCATTATCTCTAACGCTTTTGTAAATGTTGAGATTTTTAATACATATTCTGCATACCCTTATTTTCTAACACAAAATTTTAGTATAAATTGCTTTGCATATTCTCCTTTTTTTTCTTTCTAATATAAATGTAGGTTCAGAGAGATATAAAATAGAATTATTTAAAAAGATATATGAAATTTTTAGTTTGGATTGCTTATTTTATATTAACAACACTAAACTATGTCTTTTAAATTATATTTAAAAATTTACAATTTTTAGTAACTTTAAGCAAAAATATATTATTGCTACCTCAGTTATCTATCAAAGAATAGAGAAAGATCCATAGATTCTGAAAGAAAAGTTGAGAGAAGTAATTTATCAAGCAATTTTATTAGTAATGAATCTTTATATCTAAGGTTTAAAATATCAATGAAAATTCAAATACTTTTTCAGGTAAGTTCTTACAAAACAAATCTAAAAAAATATTTGTTAGATAGAATGATGATTGTCATAACTTTAGTATTTCCTAAATAGTGAGTATAATAGTTTAAATATTCTAATAACCTACAATTAAGAGATAACTATTTCCTTCAGACACAGAAGGGTAAATATACTATAGCATTATACTTTATCTATATATGATTATTATTATACTATGTAAAAGTTATCATCAACATGAAAGTCTCACAAAGACAATAATTTTTTCTATGATAGCTGATAGCACGCATACATTAATTTTAAAAAGGTGATTTTGTTTATAAAAATAATAACTCAATTTATTATTACCATAGTTTGATATGTCCTTTGAAAGTGTTTGTAGCTTATAGAATATTAGAGTTATGAAAGCAAATAAAGAGAAACCTCTTAGAATAAATTGATGCAAACTTGAATAATATGAGATTGAAACTTTTAGTAAGCATTTGCAGATAATATTCTTAGGACTAAATTCTTTATTAACTGATTATTATATTATAAAGGAAATAATTCTCATTTTTTAATAAATTAATACTTAAATTGAGATTAATTACTACTTTTAACCTTTTATAAAAAGATCTACTTGCTAGTAGAGTTATTAGTAATGATTTAGGTTTAGTTTATAACCTCTCACAGAAAATACAAAATACTTTTTTAGAAAGTACTTTATAATTTTTAAGAATTATAGCAATCAAGTTTCTAATTCAGCTCTTTTTACTAGAAACTGTCATATTGAATGATATCACCAAATTTATCAATAATTCAAAAAATTTGTAGAAGATTTATAGCAAACTTTAATAAACATTAAACGAAAAGTTTATCTAATAAACTAAAACATGATAGTTCTTGAAAAGAGTCAGTAAAGATACTCGCTATAATTATAACTAATATTCTTGATACATTGTAAGTAATAACAAGAAAAAATATTACTATATATATATCACTGATTCATTATTAATAGGAACGATATCTGAAATAATCTAGTGTTTAAACCAGATTTTGAAGATTTGCTTAATGAAGACATTTATGTGATAAATGTGATAATATCAGCAATCCAATCCATTTTGAAAAATCTTTCTTTAAAAAGACTGCATTCATTAGTATATCAGAATAACAAATCTCACAATGCTAATAGAAAAGATGATAATCAAATGAAAAAATGATCAGATATGATGTTCAAGTTTAAATACAATGAAAAAGTTTATAAACTTATATTTGTCAAATAATCGTGATTATCTTATACTAATGAAAAGAATTAGATGACATGGTAAATTATGGTGAGAGACTAATAATAGATTATATTGGGCTTGAAAAGAATATAAATCAGAGAAAAAGCAATTTAAAATCGTTAAACTCTAGGTTGCCAGTAAAATAATTTCCTTATATTTTTCACAATTCATATTTCATAAGATTTTTTTAATAATACAGAACTTTGTAAGGTGAAAATAAATTTAAATATTATCATAAGAGGTGAGAATAAGATACATTGTTATTATTATTTACACTTAACTAAGATCCTTATATGCTCTATGGGAGAATATGACTTGGCAAATTTTGTAAAGACTTTGCTTATTTTATGGGTTTGTTATTCATACTGGCTATAAATATTCTTTTAGCCAGAGAAATATTATCTAATATGATTCTGATTTTTAGAATATTATCATTATTAACATATCTTTACTATATCATATGTCTTTATTAATATCACGTAAACAAATAGAAGATAGTTCAAAGATTTCATCCCCATAAAGAAAATTGTGTATTTTTTAACCATTTTTAGGCTAAGACCTGATTTTATTTATTATATATTTTAGTAATTTAGTATAGAAATTTCATGTATTTGAGATACATCCTAATATATATTTATTTTTTATCTCTGTATCAATAAAGTTTCTTCAAGATCATGCAGTTTTGCAAATTTCAGCTGAGGGTTTTAACTAAAATCATATAAATTTTTTTATTTTGAATATTAATATACTAATACTATATTACGCAAGCATATAATCTGAAATAGATAAAACTAATTTATTAAAAATATGCATTATTAGGTTTGAGTTTGAAAATGATAAAATTAAGGTTAAGAATAATAAAATTATAGCTGAAAATTTTAAGCTTTAGGTCAGAGTTACGAAATTAAAAGATAAGTAATTACAAAATAAATTAGTAAAAAATTTATTATCTATATCATAAAAAACATGATTATATATTAATTTGGCAAAATTTCTTCAGTATCAGAGCATCCTGCTAAAATGATTTTTTCTTGCTAACCAATGGTCAGATATCATATGCATTTTTGATCAGAGTTTTCTAGCAAATCTTTTGTGATATTAACATGTAAATTTATTTTTAATGACCTATAAGTGAATTTCTTGTATGTAAACTTTTTTATGCAAAATTATACCTAATAAAATATTTCATTTTGACTATAAATATATTATCAATAGACTTTCTAAAAGTCTTGTTAAAAGAACTTGCCAGAGACTCTTATACTATTCTAAAAACCTTATTCCATTAAAATCTATTTCTAAGAAGTCTGAACAAATTGAAACTTATTTGAAACACACATTAAAGGTTTATAAGAAATTATTAAATCAAAAACATAAAAATATAGCTCAGAAAATATTATTTTGCCTTCAAAGTTAACTAGAATGTAATGTATTCTTAGTATTATTGTATATATACATTATAGATAATGGAGTCTAAATTGATAAATTATGAGGATAAAAACAACTACTAGGTTATGAATAAGCTTAAAGTATTAATCTAACATTTGCTCAATTATAATAGATGAACTTTTGAAAAATTTATGTTAGATATAGAAAAGAAATATAAGGAGCAGGTTAATGTAAATAAAAAATTGTGAGGCAGAATTGAGAATCTGAAGTTGCAAGTGCAGAAGGTGAAAAAAAAGCTGGCATTTATGAAGTTAGATTCTACTTATTTAATATTAATGATATATCTTAATCTAGCCTAATCACTAATAGATTGTTTACTGGTTGTTGCTGATATAATAGAAGCCTTTGGTTGTTATATAATATTTCATATATAATTTGATTCATATGATGATTCACCTTCAAAAATGTTTTTGAAGTATTAATAATCTTATCAAGAATAAGAACTTTACTAACATTTAATTTTTCAGAAGAACTGAAATCAAATGATGAGTCAAAGTTAAAAATAGTTTCTTTTATATAATCTCATAATGCTGGTTGAATAAATCAATCTTTGTCATCTTAAAAAAAATTTATAAGAGATTTAGTAGAGGCTTTTTGGTATATCAATAAATGTGAATACAAAACATTTAATGATAGGTTTATAATACCAGTAGATTTTTTGCAGTTTATTAATCAGTATGATCTTTTAAAAAGTAAAAACTGCTGTCTAAAATTTACCTATGATGAATTAAATTATCATTATCAAAATCTGAGCATTTACCTTAAAATGTCTTAGATAAATTATTCATGCTTCTCATTTTTAAAGCCCTCTTTAACCAAATTTACTTCTAATCTTATCAATTATATAAATTATTTTAATTAATAAAGAAGAATAGACAAAAAAAATCATGAGTCAATGATACCTATAGTAAATGAAGAGAATGCAAGAAAATTAAAAATCATTATATCTGTTATATTTAGAAATTCAGAAATAGTCAAAAAGTATAAAATTCTTATTGATATTGTTGAATCTGTAACATATTGAAAAAAAATCAATGTGGATCAATTTTACTTTGAAGACAACTTGTAAGTAAAAACTATTTTTTTAATATAAGTAAAATTAAGCTAACTTAAAACCTTTTTAGTACAAAAAGTAGATACTTACAGAAATTAGAGGAAGTATTTCTATTTAAAGTTAAAATATATACTTACCATTATGAAAACATAATAAATACTACTTTCGTTTGGAAGATTAATTCAAATGTTGATGAATTTATAACATTTGAGAAAAATTATGAAATCTGAAATAGATTAAAAGAATCTATGTTTAGATATGCTGCTCAGTTAATAAGAAAAGAATTTGTGAACATATGTGAGATGTTTCTTGAAAATGTTAAAAAATCTCAAGTTCACTATTTATATAAAAAATTTATGGGAGATTATTCTGCAGATAAATTTGAAATAGATGCAAGAGTTAGGTTAGTATTTGAATTAAATGATCCAGAATTGGTTACTAATCTTAGATATTTTAATGAAGGTCAAATATCAATATATGATTCTTTTTAGAATGAAGCAAAAAGTTTTTTAGAAGGTACTGCACAGGATTCTGTTGTTGCTGTTGATGAAAGAAGACATGATTCTATAGTGTATTTAGTTCGTGTTATATCTATAAAGGATTTAAGAAATCAAATCACAAACAGATGTCTAAAAAATATACCAATACCTTCTATATAATGGCTAAGATTACAATTTTAATCTAAGAACTTATAGAATTTATTAAGCTTTTAATTTACTGGGTAGTTACCTCTTAAATTTATAGTATAAGTTTGATAATTACATGTAGATCATATTGATAGTTATTATACATCAGCCATTTTTCGTTATTTGAAAGAACTTGCTATAAAATTTAAAGAAAATAGCTGATTAGTTTTTATGGATGATAAATATAGATGTAAAATAGGTGAGTTTGAATTTTTAGTAGCAGCAGTAGAACGTGACAAGCAAGTTATGGTAACTAAGAATAAAGTATTTATCATGACAGATCATGATTTTATCAAATGCAATTTGATTTTAAGTGTAATTATGATTTGCGATATTCCTAATAATATAGAAGGTTCTTTTATAAGAGAAAAGTGAAAATAGGATTAAAAAATGTTATATTTTAAGATTCAAGTTCCTTAAGGCATATGATTGAATTTTATGATATATTAATAAATACAAAATTAGATCACCTTTTTTGATGCTTTATACAGATAGTAGTTCTGACTTTAGAAATACTTTTCTTCATGTTCAGTTAACTTTAAGAGCAATATTTGTAAGCTAGATTTAGATTATTTGGTTGATATTAGAACACCTTCTAGACATTTCTGAAAAAATTCAGTAAAGCAAATAATGTTTATCTTGAATCTTAGAATATAATGCATTAGATTAAAACGTTAAGAAATGAATTCTGAAATAGAAAATTTAATGAATGGTTGCAATAGTATAGAAAATATATATGAGAAAGTAAAAACAAATAATCAATTAGAAAGAGAATTTTTAGCAAGTTTAGAATCTACAAAGAAATTATTGAATAATATATTTGAATGTCAAAACCTTAAAGATGAACCTTTTAAAGCATTTAAGTCAGCAACTAAATCAGAAATGAAAAATTTTTAGGAATCTATGCATGTAATAGATAATTCTATTATAACAAATGATACATCACAAAAAAAGTAGTAAATCTGAATGCAGTCAAGAAAATGAAAAAAATAGGATACGAAGTTGATTCTAAAGTTGATCCTATAGCTGAATTATTTAAAATAGTATAAATCAATACAAATATACGTGTAGATTAGTGATTAAAAAATCATATTTTAACATTAGAATTTTCTTACAAATTTGTTATCTCTGTGATGCATCAAAAGACATAATTCAGATAGATAATCAATTATTATATTATTAACAATGTCATTCGTTACCTGAAAAGAAAAGATTAATAAATAAAGAAAGCTTAATCCTAATAGTAGAAAAAACGTAAAATGTAAAGAAAAACTTACATATATTCATGATTTGTATTAGCATTAATAAATAAATTTGATTAGTATAAATATACGCATATTTAGCAATTTTATAATGGTATAAATAGATAAAATAAAATTTGTAACATTTCACAAAATTAGATCAGTAATATTTGAGAACCAATTTTTCATATTTATTACGCCTTATATTTTATATAATATTCTTCTTATATAATACTTTTTTCTGAATATAATATTACTAGATACTATATAAAATTATCAAATACTAATATCAACGCTATACAGTAATTTAATTATATTTAATTTAGATTTAATTTTTATATTATTATATGAATTAATTGTAAAATTTATTAATTGAAATAAATTTAATATATATAATAAAAATTTATATCTTTAAAAATTAATAATTTATTTTAATAATTTTTAGAGACTTATTTTTATTAATAGAATTATTAATTTAAATTAATAAAAAAAAAATAAGAATTAATAATAATAGATTAAATTTATATAATAAGTTTAATAAATTAAGTTATAAGAATAAAGTTTAATTTTATAAAATAAACTAATTAGATTAATATAATTTTAATAATTTTAATAAAATTTTATTCACAAATATATTAAATTATAAATTTAATATTTAAAATTATTTTAAAACTTTATATTTAGATTATATAAATTCTCATCTTATTTATATAAAATTTTGATTTACTTTTATTAATTATTAATGATAAAGCAAAGAAACTATAAAAATATTATAAATTTTTATTAATAAATTAAACTTAATAATTTATTTAATTTTTATAACTTATATAATTTTATTAACAATAAATAAATATTATAATTTATTTTTATTATTTTTGAAAATTTTGGTTATTTTTATTGATTAAGAAATTATAATTTTATTTAATAATAATGTGTAAATTATTTAATAGTTCATTTTTTTACAATATCTTAATAACTATAATTTCAATAAGATTATACTTAATAAGATGATTCTAATAATAATATTTATATCAAAATCTAATTATTAAATTAAAAGTATTATTTAATTTAATAAAATTTTTTTAGATATATCATATTACTTATTTTCTATTTACTAAAATATTTAATATTATAAATTTTTAATTATTTAATATTTTAGCATTTTATAACCAAACATCATTTTATTATATCTTAATATATATATTATAATTTTTTCTTTTTAAAAAGGTTATTAATTTCATCTATATAAAATACTAAAATAATGCAACTTAATTTTTAACTAACCATTTTTTTATGCTAATCACTTTTTTTTTTTTTTTTTTTTTTGGAAATCTAAATGTTTATGTCATTATATTGTGCATTATAAAATTCTGATAAGCCACCTTTTTTCAGAATGTTTATCTCTTTTCTCTATCAAAATTTATGTAGTTACAGTAAATTAATAAAGAAAGTAATATTTTAACAATTTCATAAAACTCATTATTATTATCACTTTCCAACTTCATTTTTTTTCACTTTAAAATCTTTAACAAACATGGAAGATACCCTTTATCAAGGAATTAACCAAGTCGTTCAAGGAAAGAAACCTTTGAACATTCTAGATCAACTTTTCTCAAACCCACAAAGTCTTTCCGAGACTGATAAAGACATAATACTTGATACAATTTGGTATATCGAATCTACTTTCCAGGATGAGAATAACGAATATCGTACAAGGCTTGCAAGTATCGTAAAGTATATTTTTTCAAAAAAGATAATTGATATAAAGCTCTTCAAGACTAGACTTGAAGTTTCTCTACTTGGTGCTGCCGGTCTTGTTGACGAAAAGTTGTTCAATCGAAGACTCGTACGAATAAATACAGCCATGTTATATAAACAACAAAAGTATAATCTATTAAGAGAAGAAAACGAAGGATATGCAAAATTAATATGTGAACTGGCTCAACACTGTGACCCAGACTACATAGTCGAAACTGAAGCAGCTCTAAATGAACGAGCTAATAGTCTTCTTGAACAGATTAAAATGTTAATAGGATATTTCCATCTTGATCCAAATAGGGTTTTGGATTTAATTCTTGATGTCTTCGTAGTCAATGTTAGAGAGCATCATGAATTCTTTTTACGTCTATTGGAAATTTCTCCATGGCAGCCTGAACCCCCACCAAATTCTAACAAAATGGATGTTGATGATCAACTTTTCATGTGGGAAAATGATTTGGGTAATCCTTCTTGTGCTCAGTTGCTTGGAACCAAATATCAAAGATACGAAGGTGATAACATGTTATCAAACGTGTTCGGATCCCTTTATGAAGTTTCTGCTCTCTTAATACATCGGGGACTTGTCAGTGTTGGCGATCTTCATCCACATATCATGATTGATGAAATAACCGAAGAAATGGAATGGAAAAAGAAATTGGAAGTTCAGCATAGACATGAACTTGGACTTGCTTGCGCTCTTCTTAGTATTGGTGATTTATATCATGCTCGATATTATATCTACCAGTTACCGTATATACATCCTAACATAGCCAAGAAAGTTTGTGAAATATTGCATATATCAATTGAGCCAATTTATTTTTCAATAGCTCCGAATATCTTAGAAGCAAGGAAGCCTCCAGCTTTTCCCGGATCATGGTACCTTCGATGGAAGGATGGCATACCAATGTTCAAAACTATGGATGAACTAATCCTTGAAGGAGGCCGAGAATTATTAAATCTTGTGTCTCCCTTTTTTAACGACGACATCATATTATTCACAAAAATTCTAAGGCTCGCTCTCAGGCATCTCACAATCTCAAGGTCAGCTCCTAATATTCATCAAATAGAAACGTCCTGGCTTGACATTGTAAGATCTGTGATCTTACCAAGCATATCTATGTGTGAGACAAACCCAGGAGTAATTACCGATTTTTGGGATGTATTATGTCATTATCCATACGAAACAAGGTATGGAATCTATGGTGAATGGAAATGTGAGAGTTACAACATACATCCGATTTTAAGAGATTTGAAAACTAATATTATCAAACAAGCAAGGGGCATAATGAAAAGGATTACCGATGATAACTATCGCCAGAAAGGTCGTGAAATATCAAAATTGGCTACAGGAAATCCTGCTATTGTTTATTCAATAGCGTTAGATCAAGTTCAACGTTATCCGAATATGATAACTCCCGTGGTCGAGGCTTGTAGATACTTGAGTGATTTTGCTTACGATGTATTGAGTTATCTTATGCTTGAAATTTTGGCTAGTGATAAGCCAAGGATTAAGGAAGATGGAATTAATATGGTCGATTGGTTACAAAATATTTCTCTATTTTGTGGACAAATTTGCCGGAAGTATGAGCCAATCGATCTTAGAAGTATTCTTCAATATGTTGTCAATCAGCTTCAACTTGACAATGAAGTCGATCTGTGTGTTCTATCACAACTTATTACCAATTTGTCTGGTATAGAGTTATCTGTCATACCATCTGAGAGTGATGTAGTTTTGATGAGCGGGTCTGATACTCTTAGAAAGACCAGACTGTACAATATCAATATTAACAAAAATGTACGGCGTAGTTCGGCAAGATTAGCTAAAACTATTATAGACACTGGTTTTTTGACTCCACTTGCTTTTTACATAGCACAAATGTGTCAGAAAATTCCATTCCCCGTTTCGAATGAAAATAACATACTTTCGATATCAACATCGTCTGATCTTAAACAATTGGGTGCTAAGTTGGATACAGTTCGCAATACATATGTCCAATATATGGAGTTTCTTGCGCTCAATGTTGATATGAAAGATCATCATAGGATGATTCCAGATACTATTGAACTGTGTAATAAATACGCAGTTCAGCCAGAATATGCGTTTATGCTACTACGTCCTAAATTAAATTATTTGATCAAATCATATTATGAAACGACAATGGATGCTGAAGAAGACAATATTATTTGGCAGCCTGCTTTGCGTGACGTTATTGAGCAAGCTCAACAGATATACCCGTCTCACGTATGGAATGGAATTAGCCCAGAGTTTTATACAACTTTTTGGCAACTCTCATTATATGATCTCCAATTTCCTGCTCAAGAATATCAAAAGGCGATAAATGAAACTCGTAGTCTACTTAAGACTGCTGAAGATAAGAAAAGGCCACAAGATATTAAAAAATATACGGCTATTCTTAATGCGCTTGAAGAAGAATATAAGCAACACCCTGAGCATACAACACGCATTCGACAAAGGTTAATGAGAGAAAAAGATCATTGGTTTTCTGGGCAATTCTCAAATCGTCAAGACATTATTACACAATTTTGGCAATATTGTCTTTTTCCACGTTTGATTATGTCTGCAGATAATGCAGTTTTTTGTGCAAAATTTATTGAGGAGATGCACGAAATTGGTACAGCAAATTTTTCAACGCTTACACTCTATGATAGAGTATTTGCGGATCAAGCACAACCTGTTACTTTTACATGTACAGAAGCTGAAGCTCGTAATTATGGACGCTTCTTGCAAACTTGTTTGAAATCTCTCAGCGTTCTCCACAAGGATTCCAATGCTTACGAAGAAAGAGGAAAAGGGAGAGGAATACCTGGCTTCCAAATGAAGTGGAGCGCTCTAAATAGACAACCATCAAGTATTGCTGAAACTGATTTATTACAGTATGAAGACTTTAGACGTGTTTATTACAAATGGCATTCAAAACTTCTCAAGGCTTTCGAACAAGGCCTTCTTGGAATTGAATATATATCAGTTCGGAATACTATAATTGTCCTGAGTGAAATAGTGCTATATTTTCCTGCTATTGAAACTATGGGCAAGAAAGTTGAGTCATTCGTCAAGAACATTGCAGATAATGAAAAAAGATCTGATATTAAAGTATTAGCCCTAAGCTATTTGGGCAAATTAAGAAGTATGAGAAAGACATGGATTCCTTACAAACAATTTCAAACTCCTAAACAACAAACACCCTCAAACGCTCAAAATCCTACCTCTACTCAAAATGCCTCAACTCCTACAAATAATACTTCAACCGTACAGCAAAATAAAGCTACTATTCAGCCGGAACGGCCGTCTACTCCACAACCTTATCGTGGGAATCTATCGAATGTTCGTGATGGTCATCAATCTCCTCGTGCGACAGCTAGGACTAACAGTCCAAGAAGACAAATCCATCCATTACCTGACAAACCAATGGAAATTAGAAATCCTATGGACGTTAGAAACCAGCTGCGTGAAAAGGAGCGTGAAAAAGAGCGTGAAAGAGAACGAGAGCGTAATAAAGAAAAGAAAATAGACATTCACAATGAGCGTGAAAAAGAAAAGATGATCAAAAAGATTGATCATGAACGCGAAAGAGAAATCAAAAAAATTGAACATCATGAACGAGACAAAATTGGAAGAGACGTTCGAGAAAGAAATAAAATTCCAGAAATACCTCGTGGAGAAATTGAAAAAAAAGACATCCGAAAACCAAGTAAAGAAAGACAGCCTGGCGATGACCGGATGAAAAGAATCGAACATCATCCACGTAGTAAAGAGAGGGAATTAAGAGATCGCGAAGAAAGAATGAAAGAAAAAGAGCGTGAAAAACGTGAAGAACGTCGCGAAGATAAACGTGAAGAAAGACGGGAGGAGAAGCGTGAAGATAAACGCGATAAATTAAAAGAGAAGGAACGTGAACGAAGCAGAGAAGCAGAAAGAGAACGCGAAGATCGAGAGAGGGAGCGTCGCGAAAGAGAAGTTGAACGCGATCGCCATCGCAACGGAAGACGTCATCTTGATGATGTTTCAAGACGGATTCGTAAGCCTGATCACGAGATGGTCCAAATGCGCGATGAACGCGAACGACTTATCGCACAGGGGAAAAAAAGAGATAGAACCGATCGTGATCGTGATGAAGAGCCTGAAATCTCGAAGAAACGAGTGGTCGAGCGAGCGGGGGAAAGGATCGTAGAACGGATCCCACCCGAAATTATTCCTCCTATATCCCGGCCACCTGTAAAGCTCAATCGAACGACCGAGCATATCTCGGAGTTGCTTGTTAATGGGGGTCACTATAACCCGGGTATGAGCAAAAAGCCTGGCGGTGGTGACAAGCATCGAAGGCGAAATTATTAACTAACTCTTTTAAATTAAATAAAAAAAATATTAAATTAATTATTTATCATAGCAAGGTTGTACTCATATTTTAATTAAATAATGGTAATAATAATAAAATAAAATTATGTAAATATAGACATAGAAATAAAAATGTATTTTTTTTCACCTTTGATCTAAAAATAACGCGATTAATTATAAGTTGTAAATAGCTAGGCGGATTTTATAAAATTTATTTTTTTACGTGTCAATTTCCGAAGTTTTTGTTATCAAAACAATATTTATTAAGAAAAATATTTTTACAAATAAAAATTTTGAATTTTCTGTAGGATATCAAAATTTATTAATATTCTAAATTATTTTTAAATTTGAAAATTTGAAAAATTTTACAATGATTATATGATAAAAAAGGAAAGAATATATATAAAGACAGGTAATAAAGATGTATGAAATATAATACTAAATTGGAAAAAATATATATATATATATATAAAGTAAACGAAAATTTATCGGGTTTCAACACAACTCGCCTTTTACATTCCTTTTAATATACTCCAAGCTTTAATGGCCCTGTTTTCGCTTTCACCCAATGACCGCGAATTATCATCAAGATTACGTTTATGTGGACAATTATTTTCATCATCTAACAATTCACATTCACATTCACCACTTGATAATTCCAAATCATCATCACTATCATCGTAATCACCACTAACAATTCTTTCAAGTATAACCAGTTTCTTTATAAATGTTTCACGTAGTTTGGTTATACCTTCAAATACAGAATTTTTTGATAACCTTCTCAAGCACCTTATCCATAGAATTATTGTATTTTGTAATCTTTCTCTATCCAGAACATCGGGTAATGTAATATTCGATGTGGATGTGGTGGTTTTGTTTGTCATCGTTGTCAATGAATTCGATGTTGTGGTAGAAGGCAAATTCGTTGATGATGCATTTTCTTTTTCTCCTTTGGCAGATGATTTCGTGCTATCACTTGAAGAAGCTAGCCCTTCAACAATCTTCCAACTTAAACTTCTTGCCTCTAATACAATCCATCCAACACAAAATTCTGCCAAATCTTGAACATCATGTATCATTTGGATTATTTCAAAAGAATTATTCAATTCATCTAATAATTCAATTTTTCCTTCTACGCTACCGTCATCACTTCTTTGTTCTTTTCTTTTGGCCATCGCAAGGCTAACTTTATCAGCACATCTAATTGAAGCTTCAACTTTCCCATGCATTAATAATGCATATGAAAGTAATCCCATAGCAATGATCTGTTTATTATAATTATTTTCATCTGATTTAATTGTTGGATAATCTTTAAGTCTATTAACGAAATTTTTTCCAAGTGAATTATGCCCTGAAGAAAATGCCTCAATACTACAACCAACTAATGCATACCAATGTGTTAATGAATTAGGTGTGGTGTCTCTTACTATTTCAACAAAGGAGAATGGCTGTTGATTCTGTTGATTTTTCGATGATTTCTTTTTACCGGTATATTTTAGAGAAATAAAGTTATAAAAAGCTTGTTTAAGATAAATTAATGCTTGAACATCCGTTACAAGTGTTAAAGGAATCGTAATATTTTTCATCAGTCCAATGTGTGATTTTTCATCATTTTTCCTTTTTGAATAAAGGAAAATGTAATCACTAATTCTATTAACAACTCCCTTCCACATTTCACTTTGATGATCACTATTCAAGGCGATTTCAAGCCATTTTTCTTCTTTTCCACTTCCGTGTCCCATTTCTTTCTTTGCTAATTTCCAAAATTGTGAAGCAGCTTTTTCTGCAAGGAATGGAAAACTTGAAAGTCCAATATAACTCTGTAATGCGGCATTAGCGTAAATACGTGACGGACTAAGATAGATATGTTTTCTCGTAGTATAAGAACTTTCTAAAAGATTAATGGTGCGAAGACAAGTGTAAAAGATTGATAGACGTGAAGCTTTATCATTGCCGCCACATAGTTCAACCTCACCAATTCTTCCCCATAGCGATACCTCCATAAGTCTTTCTTCAACATCTGTAAGCGTATAACCACCTGTAATATCCCATCCCATGAATCTTCTCAGAGAAAATTTAATGGATTCTGAAATGAGTCCAATAATAAGTTCTAATAAATTGGAAGGAGGTCCATTTGAAAGACTTGAAAGAGATCGATAAAGTGCTTTAGCATCTTTAGTTTTAGCGGTTAATACAGATGTGATGATCGAATTTGATTTACGTAAACGACGTGGTTGACTTGAAAACAGTGAAGGTCGAATAATATAAGTTAGACACATGAGAAAAGTGAAAATCCTTATCAAATACCAAATGTCGATGGTTAATGTACCATCGCTCGCATTAAATGAACTTTTAGTTGTATCAATAACGGGTGTAGGCGAATTAGATAATACCCGTCCTTCATGATGATGATCATCATCAGGATGAGGTTGTGTATTATAGCTTGATGATGATGTAAAGAAAGTCATACACATGAATAAAGCCATTAGAGCTCTTGAACCAGTATTTCCGGTTGGAGGGGTCGGTGGCGTAGAATAATCATAATCCTGTTGATGTGGTGAACCAGGATGAGATGAACTTGGAGAACTTTCAGCTGATGTAGGTGGTGTATACTGTCCAGTGTGCTCATTATGTTCATTAGAGTTAGCAACTTGTTCTGTCATATAAGCATTATATAATTCAGTACCACCGGGTAAAGCTTCAATCAATTTCCTCAAAGTATCATTTTCACGTTTAAGTTTTTGATTGCTGTTCTTTAAGTAATTAATATATTCGGTTGCTTTCCTAAGAATTGTTGCTTTATTCAGTTTGGTGGCAGCAGGAATTCCATCAACTTCACTGACTTCATCATCATCTTTACTTTTGAGATGACAAAGTGCAGGAACAACATTTTTAAGATCATTAATACGATCATTAATATTATTCCTATAACGACGCTCGATGGCATTATGGGCAACTTTCTTCTGTTGTTTATTTGGCTGTGATTGGAAATTTTGTTGTGGTTGTGCATTAGAGATTGTAGATTTAAGACGATTTATTGGCAACTTGGCAGCAGGAGAACTATCACGCGCGACAAGTAAAGGTATATTCGTAAACTCGATCATCCCATCGGGAACGAAACTCGTTGCGGAAGGATTAACGGTTTGAGCTGATTGATTCCAAGCACCTTGATTAAATGCCAACATCGAGTTTGTAGCATAATTTGAAGTATCTGAAGAAATAACGGGAGAACTAGGAACTACAATACTTTGAGTACCATCTGAAGAATTTAATTCACCTTTAACAAACTCAGTTCCTGAAGTAGAAGTTGGATGTCCCGAAGATTTCAATCCAGTGGAAGATTTTTTAATAGATTTACCAATCACACTATTTAGATTTTTACGCTTCTTTTTTGATGATTTATCAGGTGAAATACTATCACGATCAAATGTTAAATTAGCGCGCTTTTTAGCATTATCAAACTGCTGAGAAGCGATTAAGTTAAGTGCGTCAAGATCATTTTTTGAAGTTAATAGTTCAAAAGGAGATCCTTCCATAGAAGAGTCTTGACAAAATTCTTGAACATTAGCATCGATCGGTGAAATAGTAAAATCTTGTAAGGAATTAAATTGTGGTGGAGAAAGAGTGTCTAAGGAACAATTGTCGTCAATCGTAGTATAAGAACTGGGTGAATTTAAGAATGAATCATGAGAATTTAGAGAAGCTAATATGTCCGATGAATTAAATAGAGTATCGGTAGGCAAAGTTGATACAGGATATTGATAGTTATTAAAAATTTGATTATGACCATCGTTAGAACTTTCGATATTATTACTATTTGCAGCTAACATTGCTTGTATTTGAGCTTCAAACTCCGACATTGTAGTCGAAGGTGGTTGCGTTGTATTTGGATTATTACTCAAATTATTTGTCGTGGTGAATTCATCAAATAGTGATTCACACATAAGTAAATCTTGAAGCTCTATTGATTGCGGTAGTCCACTCGCATAAGGATTGGTTTCGAACATTTTATTATATTCGCAAAAAAAAAAAAAATTTAAAGAGGGTTGGCAGTAATTTGTTGTAAATTTACGTCAAAAGAATATTAATGGCTTTAAATACTCAACAAGTTTTTTCTATTAAGACAATCAATTTTTAATAGCAAAGATTTGAAAAAAAAAGTATGGAAAGTATTGGATATAAAAAAGTGGTGTGAGAAGATCTTTCAAGTATTTAGAGATGATTGGATAATATTGGATCAGGTTATGTTTTTTTTTTTATTTGTAATACATAATAAAGGAACATTATTTTGAGTCATGGATGCCCCGAAACGTTCATCTTTTTTCCTTAATAATTAAAATCAAAAAATTTGTGAAAGAGTAAGAAGCCCCAATGAGGACCAATATACTATAAATAGTTGAAGCTTTTAAGCCGGTTAAATGCAACGTCTGTGTTGGCAATATTTCGGCATATAAATTAATCAATTGGTAAAGGTAGAAGAGGATGCAAAGAGATTGATTCGAGAATATGTATAAAAAAAAGATCAGGAGGATTTCTTTTATCAATACAATAATAATCTACATTTATACAAATTCATTTATTATTTTAAATTTTGATAAATAATCAATGGTTAATATTTCAATAGCAAATAGTATTTACCGATTTCTATTCATACACGCATACACGGGTGTTTGAACGAGTATCACGTGACATTATATTTAATAAATATCATGTGACTTTAAACTTTGATAATTTTTTATGTAACATAAAACACATTCAAAAGCAGCATACATATACATGTTATAAATTGCTATTAGCACATTAATCTTCGTTAATACTTTTACTTTGACATGTCTTTGAATAATATCTATATTGCTTACAATTCTTTATCTTTACCTTTTGTCTTATGTATAATATTATTATTTATACATTAACTTGTATACTATCTTTCAATACTTGTTTTGATCCCTTAGGTAAATAACTTTAACATTTGATTTAAACCTTTTCAGAGGTCATTCTTTGTGTTTTATAACTATTAGATTATTAATAGTAGTAGATTATTCTATTTTCATATTGTTTTAAATATTATAAATAAAACTCTTAAACAGTTTGTATTGCATATTAACCTTAAAAATACAATTAACTGCCTTTTTTAATAATCCAAATAACTCTACATTTATTTTTAATTAAATTTTGTTAAGGTATAGATAGAATATGAATCAAAAAGAAATAATAAAAATCAATGTTTTTTTAAATTTTATATTATTATCTGATATATCAAAAACTAAAATATAAGAATATTATTATGTATTTATAATCATAACATCTAAATACTATTGATTTAGGATTATATTTATATAAATTTAATATATTAAGATAAGTACTGATACAAAAAAATGTTAATATATCAATCTTTTATTAATAAAAAAGAAATATTTACATAAATATATGCTTTTATTAAAAAAAATTATATGTTATACTTATATGATATTTTTTTAATGATATAATTCTAATTAATAATTGAAAAATTTTGCTAAATATCCTATCCAATTCTAATAAAATTTAAACATTTAACTTATGTATTACTATTATGTAATCAATTAATATTATAATATATAAATTTAATTATCTGTAATCTTTGTTTTATAAGCATTATAATTGTTAAAAGATTTTTATAATATTATTTATAAGCTCAAATTTTATGTTTAATATTAATATACCAATTAAAAGTAAAACAGATTATTTAAATTCAAAAATTTTAAAATATTTTTTATTTCTAATATAATTTTTAATATTAAGTAATAAGTTATATAATAAAGTAGTTTAATCAACTTTATCATTTATTTTTTGTTAATTAACTTAAATTTTATGTACTTTTATTTTAATGATAAATCTTTTATGTATTATTACAAAGTAATAATTATGAAATCTACAATATGACATAGTATTAAATATTAAAAATGTTAAACATATTAAATATGTTAAATATATTAAATATAATTTACATATTAGATATAATAAATATGTTTAATATTGTTAATATAATTATTATATTTAAAATATTATTCATTATATAGAATTGAAAATGTAATATTAAAAGTATATATAAAGGATTAAATTCATAATTGAAAAGGGTAATTATTAATTACTAGATGCAATTTGATCAGTTTATCTTAAAGGCTATATGCAACTTCTAATTTTATATATTACTTTAGTTATTTTCCTTTCTTTTTCTTATTTTCTTATTTATTTTTTATTTCTTTAATTTTATTAATAAACTGTTTGATTTAATTCATAATTTTTATATAATTCTTTTAAGTAATATGATCAATATTTAAATTAATTTATTAAAGTATAAATATATAAAATATACTTTATAATATATAACAGAATTATTAACTTACTAAGATATTAATATATTTTACAGTATATAATAGAACTATTAATCTAATTTACTAAGATTTAAATATATCTTATGATATATAATAGAACTATTCTTATTCATCAACCATTAATTTACTATGTAAATTATAACCTTTAAATATTATTAACGTACAATCTTTTTAGATTATAACTGTTAGACGTGGTGTCAGAAGGTTGACTCTTTTTAATTGAGTAGTAATTCTTTTAACTGTTTACAAGTTTTTACGTCAGACTAGTTATCAAAAGTATTTATACAGTTGCGTTAGGCAGTGATTCAACTGATTGCAAGTAAGTTATATTGGTAAATAATGTGTTTATTTACGAGTAAAATAATAAAAGAAAAAAGAAAAACTAACGTGATAGGCCAGTTGCCTCTAAACTATAACGTAACGTGATAGGTCAGTTGCCTCTAAAACTGTAATATCATGTGATAGGCCTGGTTGCCTCTTAAATACTATCTTCTAGATTGGTTACTTATGTCAATAAGCCTTCAGGATTGGTTACCTATGTCGGCTAATAAAAATACACAAAAAATAGCATTACGCTATCTTTTACAAGAGGGAGATTTCTATACAGCTGTCTGTCTCCCCCTTTCTAACTTACAAAAGGGTTCATATTTATATCTATTTTACTACATATATTAACATATCTAATATATTAACTATGTTAACTATATTTACTATATTAAACATATCTAATATGTTAAATATATTAACTATATCAAATATGTTAAACATATTTGATATGTTTAACATTATCAATATTTTATACTTCACCACACATTTGTAAATCTATAATCATTAAGATCATTACCTAGTCACATTACTCTCCACTTAAGATTTCTATTCCTGTAGAAATTTAAAGTTTAAATTCTAGAATTTGCAAAAAGAATTTTGCAAAATGCATGCCATATTCATGTGCGATCTATTAAAGGGAAGCATGCTGTATTCATACTATCCGCAATTGACCTTACAAATATAGGTTTTTCTAACATTATATAGGGTTAAAATTTGCTGATTTTTAGAATTATGGGATTTAAAATTTTATATAAATAGCTTGATTTTGAATGATCTTCTAAAGTCACGTGATAAATTATTTTTCTTAAATATAACTTTTACGCGTGTTGATTCAATTATTCAAAATCTAAATCTTCAAATTTTTCAAACAAAATGCCTTCTAATAATTATTCTAAAAATAATCTTCAAAAAAGTGTTGAACATATGAGAATTTTCTGTTTCTAACAAAAAAAGAAAGTTCATGAACAGTTTGCGACCTTGCAAACTCAAGTACAAGAAGAAGAACGAAAGAGGTTGCTTATGGCAGATAGACTGGCATATCTTATAGCTGATTAAAATACTCACAAAGAACCGTTGCGACAAAGAATAAATACGTTAGAAGCTGAAAACCTTTGTTAAAAGGAGGCATTTTTAGAACAGTGGTTGTTTTACAAAGATTTGTGAGAAGGTCTGATGTTGACTTCAATTAGATAGTCTGGGTGGTAGTTAGGATATTTATTTTTACTTAGGATTTTTCTTGGAATTTTTCTTCGCTGGTAGTTCGCTAGGTTAGACTGGTAATTGTGGCTGAGTTGTATATTTTATCAATCATTTGTAAATAAATTATATACTTAGTGGCTTGATTATATTGATCTGATTTTCATCTATGATATACTTAATCTTTTTCTATATCAGAAAAGTTCATTGAAATCTAATATTTAAGAAATCTATCACAAGGAAATTGTTGAACACAAATCTAAATTAATTTTTGATCAACTGATTATGTCATTTAACTTTTCTTACTGCATAAACTACGTAAATATTGCAAGTAGTTTCTTTTTCAGGAAAATAATATTTTCATATTCCTTAATTCTCATGCGTATATTTTGCCAAATTCTTAAAATTATGCAGCTTACGAAAATTTCCTGAATTTTGTACTAAATAAAGAAATGTTAATCAAAAATATGCTATACAAATATTGCGTGATCATCTAATTTTAGTAATGTTAATCAACTACGCCAATTTTAAACAGGTTTTTATTCTATAGATTTTATGCAATAATCATCATCCAATGTGATCCAATGGATTTTTGTTTATTTTTCTGCAAGAAAATAATTCTCACAGTCTTGAGAATTTTTCATGATTTTTAATAACAGATAACTCTACCTTCAGAAAGAGAGGAATGACTTCTAGAGGAAATAGTTTATATTCGGTAGTTGTTTCAAGGAGTAGTCATACAACTGCACCAGAGAAGTCGTGAATTTAATTTTTCTTATACATTCGTAATAATTAATGATTACTAATATTAATAGAAAGGGATATCGTACGCTTCGTCTGATTCATATTTACGCTTATCGTATGTTTTTACTAATATGTAATCTACGCTCCCTTTCCTCTTTTCTATCTTATAGTTTCCTTTGAGTTTTTATTATATATCTGTTAGAATAGTCTTCTTTTGTTGTATCTTTTCTATATTTCTGATTTGCATGTATCTTAAATTTGTATTTCTCAGATGATTCAATAAAATTTTACACATTGTTGCATTTTGCCTTTTAAATTGTCTAATATTATTTCAAGAGCTATCAATTACACTGTTGACACTTTCGCTT